ACACAAATGGTCCTCTGGATGATTAAGAAAAAAAACAGTAATATAAAGGAACACAAGGGGGCGCCTGGGTGTCTCAGTCGTTAAGCGTCTGCCTTCTGCTCAGGTCATGATCCCAGGGTCCTGGAATCGAGCCCTGCGTCGGGCTCCGTGCTCCGCAGGAAGCCTTCTTCTCCCTCTCTCACTCCCCCTGCTTGTGTTCCCTCTCTCACTGTGTCTCTCTCTGTCAAATAAATAAAATCTTTAAAAAAAAGAAAAAGAAAGGAACATAAGATTTTGCTACCTTTTGTCAATAAACAACTATTTCTTACGTCTTTCTTCCCTCCTTCCTTCCCTCTATGTTCCTCCCCACTTTCTTCTTTCCTCTCCTCACTCTCTTTGCCCCAACCCCTATCAAGATGTTTCAAATCCTATTTTGGTGAATGTTAGTATATAATAATGTTTTGTTAGCAGGTGAGCTAAACAAATAAAAGATTGGGCTTTTGAGGCTTTAACGGCTGAAGATAGAGACATACTACCAAATTACTACGTGACTAATGGGTCATAAATTAGTGGATTAGTGAATGCAAAAGCAGGAAATCACAAATCTACCCTTAGGTAGTTGGGAAGACAGGAAAAACTGCACCAAGAATTGACAAAAGAAATTCAGGATCTGTATCCAACTGGAAGACTTTTCTGGAGGGTCAAGATGGCTAATAGTAGGAAACAATGAGTTTCCATCATCAGTTTGAAGGTTACATTACAGTCGCATTGCTCAGGACATTCAGTCTTGAACAGTCTAAAATTGCCCAAATATTTTTTAAAGTCACACTTGAGCAATACTAAGCATTTACCATATATTATTCCATAGATTTAGAGTAGCTAAATCTACATTAGAGATGAAATTTTTCTTTGCTAAAACTTATCAAATGTTCTAGTAGTTATCATACCCAATCATTAATGAAATAGGATAAAAGAAAGCTGTTTTGAAACTAATTTATCTAACACAACTTTTTATTTGTATTCTTGAACTAAGGCCTAGATTTTTGTTTATCTGGTTCTCATTATTAACATTGTTAAAGTATTAGAAGACATTAACTGGAATAATATTGAGGAGATTTCTCAATTTCTTAGGAATTCAGATTTTCCAGCTTGCACACTGAGCCATAGCAACATTCTCTGAAGATGTGGTTTAAAATATGTGTCCTAATTTGCTTAATGACAAATTTTTTCTCTCAGTAGTTCTTTTTTCTTTTGTATATAAATGACATTACTAGAAACCCACTTTAACAAAATCCACTCCTTTTTTCCCCATGAAAATAACAATTAATATACATTTGATCACTGCGTGGAGATCCATCCTCTATCAAGAAGTCTTTCAGTCAGAAAAAGTGAAAACAGGGAGATTATTGTAAGGTCTGTTTATAACTTAAGAAGTTTATTCTGTAGGTACATAAGACTCAATTCTGTATTCACTTTACAGGTTTTTTTTTTCCTGCCAAACTAGTACTTAACCAATATTCTGTTGCTATAAAGTAATGCAATAAACAGATATCTCATTAATGAGAATATTCAAAGAAGAAATATTTAAGAATGCCTACTGATAAATACTTTGAAAGAGGTTGTAGCACCTTTCTTTGAAATCATAAATACTTATAAGATTATTTTCAAGTTTTCTTGAAGAAAATAGCAGCATTTAGAATATAAGAAATAAATACATTTAGACTCTCTTGGTTTACATATACATTTCAATATATTTTATGCTTTTTTGCAAGATCGGTCTTATAAAATTTTAAACATAAAAACAAATTTTCACGTTTCTAGAAGTTATATAGTCAAGATAAAATTACTTTTAACAGTAATTATTTTAAAACACTTTAGCCTTAAAAAAAATAGAGTTTGCACTTTCATTTCTCCTTAACTAAGTTACAGTTGACCTTTTGCTTAGGCAACAGTAAATTTTAAAATGAAGAAAAAGTTTCCCAGTGATTTATGTTTGTTGCAAAATAACACAGGTCTCTCTGAGGGCAAACACTGGAATTTATGTACTTTGTGTTTTCCCCCACTTTTAAAAAATTTGGTAAAATACACATAACATAAAATTTGCTCTACCATTTTTTATATGTACAGCTTAGTGGTATTTTTTTCGTTTTTTTTTTTCAGCTTTATTGAGATAAAATTAACATATAACATTGTGTAAGTTTAAGGTATACAACATGTTGATTTGATATACTTTATATAGCAAAATGATTATCACTGAAGTGTTACCTGATGACTCTATAACCTCACACAATTACCATGACTTTATTGTGATGAGAACATTTTAGACTCTCTCAACAACTTCCAAGTATATAATATGTTACTGCTAACTGTAACCACAATGTTGTGCATTAGATTACCAGAATTTACTCATCTTCTAACTAGAATTTTGTATTCCTGACCAACATCTCCCCATTTCCTCTACTCTCCAGCTTCTGGTAACCATCATTCTATTCTCTGTTTCTCTAAGTATGGCTTTTTTAGATTCCATCTATAGGTGCTATCATATATTGTCTTTCTTTGTCAGAATTATTTCACTTAGTATAATTGCCTCAAGGTCTGTTTCACGTTGTCACATGTTCTCTTGGCTGAAGAAGTTTCCATTGTACCATATCTTCTCTTTCCATTCAACTGTCAGTGGACACTGAGGTTGTTTCCACATTTTGGCTATTGTAAACAATGCTGCAATGAATATGGGAAGTACAGGTATCCCTTCAAGATCCTGTTTCCATTTCCTTTAGACATATACAACCAGAAATGGTATTGCTGGATCCTATGATAGTTCTATTTTTTAATTTTTTGAGGAGCCTCCATACTGTTTGCCATAGTGGCTGAACCAACTTACATTCCCACCAATAGTGCAAAGAGGTCCTCTTTTCTTCACATCCTTGCCAACACTCGTTATCTCTTGTCTTTTTGATAATAGTCATTCTAACAGGTGTTAGGTGATATCTCATTGTGGGTTTGGTTTGCATTTCTCTAAGGGTAGTGATGTTAGCACCTTTTCATGTACCTGTTGGCCATTTGTCTTTGAAAAAAATGTCTATTCAATTCCTCTGCCCATTTTCAAATCAGACTGTTTGATTTTTTGCTAATGAGTTGTATGTATTCTTTATATTTTTTGGATATTAAGCCCTTATTAGATACAAGATTTGCAAATATTTTCTCCCCTTCTATATGTTGATGTAGGGCCAACCTATTGATTTTTGCTTTTGTTACTTGTACTTTCAGTGTTATATCCAAAAAAATCATTCCCCAGACCAATTCCAAGGAGCTTTTCCCCTATTTTTTTCTAGGAATTTTAGTTTCAGGTCTCACATTCAAGTTTTCAAAATCTTTTTTTTTTTTTAAGGATTTTATTTATTTTACTTGACAGAGAGAGACACACAGAGAGAGAGGGAACACAAGCAGGTTTCAATCTTTCACTGTTGAGTGTTATGTTAGCTGTGGGTTTGTCATATACGACCTTTTATAATTTATATATATGATTTTATTTGAATTAAGAGAGTAGAATTCTGTGATAGAATATTTTCCTCATGATTTTATGCCTTATAACCTAAATTAAAAAGATAAAATCAGTCTACTTAACACATTAATGTCTGAAACTTAAGCTTTGGCAGGATAATTTAGTTGTCAGATTCAGAAGGTTTCCCCAAAGACTTTAAAGCATACAGAGGAAGAGACAATGATTCTGGTGCCGCAAAATGTTATCTATTTTATGGTAAACATAAGAATTCATGACACTGCTCACATCCCACATTTTCTTATTGCCAGTGCAGTTCATTCTCCCATACTTCAAGTAGCATCTTACTACTAACATAAATCATACTTTAAAGCAAAGAGCCCCGGGCGCCTGGGTGGCTCAGTTGGTTAAGCGACTGCCTTCGGCTCAGGTCATGATCCTGGAGTCCCGGGATCGAGTCCCGCATCGGGCTCCCTGCTCCGCGGGGAGTCTGCTTCTCCCTCTGACCCTCCTCCCTCTCATGCTCTCTGTCTCTCATTCTCTCTGTCAAATAAATAAATAAAATCTTAAAAATAAATAAATAAATAAAATAAAGCAAAGAGCCCCACAAACCCTCATGTGCCTAACTACAACATGTGGTCTAAAAATTAGACCAGTGGCAGGATGGTACAAGCACTTTTTAACAAGAGAAAAGGGGCAAGAGAGACATGTGATAGTACCATACTTGATGTAACTTTTATATTTGTTCTGGTTCTGTACTTCCAGCCTAAGTGCTCTATTAGGTTCCACAGCATAGTCTTCTAATACATTAGGAGTGCTCTGTGATTTCTACCTAACCCCGGGTGATGACAGATGGAAAAGATGAGCATGAGTGTGTCTCTTCTTCAAATTTCATTTTCTCTCATCCACAATAAATATTCCAAATCCTCACGTATAACTTTGTATTTAGATGTTTCTAAATTGTTATGAGGAAAGATGGCTAAAGACTTCAGAAGAAACTGTATTCTTTTAAAATATTTCTATGCTTTACACTCATTCGTAATTTTTTAAATTAAGGTAGTTTCAAATCATTAATTAATAATATAGCATGACTGTAATAAAGACTATTTTATGGAGGCTCTTAAAACATAGTGAACAATTTTAGAACCTATGAACGTATGCAGCTTGATAAAGAGATTAGTATACTATCTAAGTACAATTTTGTCTGTGAGAAGAGATAATCTGAAACCTCAGGCAATCAAATTACTCCTTTGACTAGCCTGCTCTTCCTTGAGATTAACATCTATAGTCTTTGAGGGCTCATTATATCTAGATAGATGTGAAAATAAAAAGAAGGGGTCTTGTCCTGGAAACTCTTATAATCAAAGCAATAATAAAACTTTTTTGGATAACTGAATTTGTATTTCCTTAATAGTTTCTCTCAATGAAAACATGCTTAAAGATTATAAACTGAGGATCCTAAGGAATCAAGATAATTCAAAAGCAAACTGAAATTTTCTTGTGATATAAAATATGTACCTACCTTTGTGGAATATAGAACATATGTTGGGGAGGTGGTTTATAGAGGACTCCTTCATACACAGGCCAGAGCCCACTTAAAATTCTGAAGAGAGAACTTTTCCCACAACCATTAGGACCAGTTATCAAAAGATGCATTCCTTCTTGTACCTAAAGTAAGAAATAAAATTACAAACTGCAATATTTTAAAATGATTTCATTTGGCAGCATTTAAAAGTGATTTGTTTTTTAAAAACTTTCAAACACATGATAACCCAGGGTACGCAAGGAGTAAAAAAAAAAAATATCAGGATGGAGAACATCAAATTTGGCTTTTGACTATGCTCTGAAGCTAAAAGCATGATAAAATAATCCAACTTCAAAGGAAATGGATTTTCTTGGAATGAGTACTGCCTTTCTAAAATTTTAATTGCGGTCTCATCATCAGATACTACATACATATGTAGAAACACAGCCACATGGGAAATAAGAAAGTATAAAATTTTTAATTAAAACACATTACATTTTACTTTATTTATATTAATATTTGGTTAAATTTATATTGAATTCAAATAAAACTTTGTTGTATTTGTCAGTTGGAGTTCTTAGCTACAAAGCTATTCTAAGATCCAGCTGGGTAGCTTCATTTTATACTTCAGCAGTCTGAAATGTTACACAATCACAAAAGCCCATAATCAGACAGATGAAATGATTCTAATTCTGTTTTATTCACAGATGGAGAAAATACATTTACCAAACCAAGACAGAGGAAAGCAAGAGGATTACAATTTAGTCTTATGTCTAGGAATGAATTTAAAACCTATATATAGGGGCGCCTGGGTGGCTCAGTCGTTAAGCGTCTGCCTTCGCTCGGGTCATGATCCCAGGGTCCTGGGATCGAGGCCCGCATCGGGCTCCCTGCTCAGCGGGAAACCTACTTCTCCCTCTCCCACTCCCCCTGCTTGTGTTCCCTCTCTCGCTGTGTCTCTCTCTGTCAAATAAATAAATCTTTAAAAAATAAATAAATAAAACCTATATATATATGTACATATATATATATATATATATATATATATATCTTAGAAGTTATTTATCCATTATCAACTGGATGCTTCTTTTTAGAATCTTCCATCTTATTTGTCATTTAAATTTAAGCAGTTAAATTTCATGAGTTCCCATTCCACCCAATAGGATCAGGAAGTTGTCTTAGTATGGTATTTAAAGAGTATTGGAAAGAACAAGGGAAAGGAACAGCAGTTAAAAATGTGCTCTAAGAACAATGATAACATTTCTAAGAACAAACAATATTTTATAATAGTGATTAAAAAGTGAATACAACATCAAAATATGAGAGGCAGAAATCTACAGTATGCTTGTAGATAAAGCTTTGTATAATATGGATACAAATATCTAAGTATTAATGATACAGAATATATCATATTGAAAATTCAAAGATGAAAAACATTATATTACTTGGATTATGCCAGTATAAGGGGTTAGTTCCATGTCTACACATTGTGAATAACATAAGCTGAAATCTTTTTGTTGAAAGAAGGTGGTGGAGAGAGGGAGGAAGGGAAGGAAAAGAGAAGGGTTGGGATGGAGTTAAGATAAAGGAACTAGGAATGTATATAATAAGTACATGTAAAGCAAAAATAGTTCAGTTATATAGTCTGTCTAAATAATTAGACATTTCCTTGGTAAACATTGATTATTTACCACGTGCCAGACATTCTTCTAGGCACAAGGGATACCCAGGGCTACCCAAGACAAACTCTCCTGTTCTCATGGTTTACATTCCAATGGGAAAGATGGCAGAAAAGACGTGAACAAAAATTAGGTAGTGATAAATACTATTATAATAGCAAAATAAGAAAGATGCATTTGGGAAAGATGATGGCATTATGAGGTTGGAGGCGGTGGCGGGGGGTGAGGAGCGCTTCTTTTGATTGGGTGGTCAGAAAATCCTCTCTTGAGGAGGAAATATTTCGCCTGAGCCTGGGCAATAAGAGAAAACCAGTCAGAGCTGGAGGAGGAGCATTTCAGGCACTGGAGGCAGCTACCACAAGGACTTAAGACAGGAGTGAGCTTGAGTCTAAACATTTTACTATAGACATTTTTTCCCCCCAATTGTAGCCAAACTGAAAAGCTATTTTGATAGACTAAAGTTCAAAGAAAATCCCGGGAAGAGCCCAAAAAGAATTAATTTTGTGATTTGCTGTGCTCTTTCACTAGAGAGAGGGTTAAGGAAGTTTAATTTTGTAGAAGCATGAATACTTACTTCCCAAATGATTTTTTTAAAGGTATGTGCCATGGCAAAAGGCATATTCACAAAATATTTTAATAGCATCATTCTCAGGAATTCTCAGATTTTTAACACATTTGGAGTCATAATAGAAGCCTTTTCTACATTCAAATTATTTTATTGGCATAAGTGTTCTTATGTTTAGTAAACAGCAAGTGTGAAGCAAAAATAATTCCCACATCCATTGAATTTTCTTCTCCAGTTTTTTAATTCCACAATGTCTATAAAAGGATGAGAACCTTTTCCTCTAGAAACCTGTTTATTTGTCAATGCATACAGGAAACAGAACTTTTATTATATTTTAGGGAACTGACACTTTAAATAAAACCCCCTGAGTCAGAAAAATACCAATTATCATAAAGTGTACTATATTAACATATATCTTTGTAGAAGTTCAAAATTCATGACATTTTCATTAGATTAAGTATTTTAAAATTCATTTTTTATAAAAAAATATACTGAGCCCTGAATTTTTTTCGCAGAGCATGATGTGTCCACAATAATGTAGTTAGTAGGTGCCAGAATTCAAGACTTAATTCTATTTAATAAATGGAGCAATAAGAATTGATATTACAAAACCTAACCTGACAAATTCTATATAAAAAGTCATAAATTATAAATTGCTAAACTATTAATAAGTAATTAAACATTCCATGTATGCCTCTTCAAGTAGTTTTATTTCAAATCTACTTAAGATTATGGTACATCATTAAAACCTAATCGGTACTCATGATCAGATCCAAGTAAGTAAATCACTCTGTAGGTCTATAAATGGAAAAATAAAACCTAATCAAACTGTAGTTAGAACACAATTTCTCTTATATTTATTAACACAGAATTTCCCTATGTTCAGTACATATCACCTTCCAGCACACTTACTCATTTGCAGACCCATCTTTAAAAATAATCCTAGACTGAGGTCCATACTAAAATCATTAGTACATGTATTATCATGCTTGCAGTTCTGTTACCAAGTCCAATCATGTCTTTGTTTGAACCACACTTAGAAGCCTTCATTAAATCATTTATGCTTATCTGCAAATTATTGTGTACTTAAATTCCAAAATGTATGTTCAAATTTTATAGTGTTTTAAATTAGGGCCTCAGGTTTGTTAAAGAAATTTTTACATCTTGGTTTCTGTAATCAAGACATAGAACAATAAATAACAAATACCTCTTATTCTCAACAAAATTAAAAACTAATCCACGAATCTTCTATTTTTTTCCAAATGGAAAATGAGATTATTGGAAATATAAATTAAATTTAGAAAATATTCAATAATGGAGGTAAACTTGCTAAGGACCTCTTTCCTCATATTTTAGTAAATATATTACAATATAGGCTTATATATTTTGAATAATCCCTATAAGGAAAAAATTAAAATTTATTTCCAGATATTAATTTCTGATGAATTTTTCTATTGTTCCCAAAAGTTACCTTGTATAGGCCCTCAGTGCACTGAGAAATTTTGATTTTCAACCTGGCAAAAAAGCAGTAGAAATCAAATTTCTCTTTCTCTTTGTTTTCTGAAGAAGTAACTGCTTCTGTAATTGAGCCACTGTGCATACCTTTCTTGATTTCCCCTCCTTTCCATATGCTCCTCCAAGTATTTAACATAAGGTACATGAATTCTGAGTTGTTTTGTATTAGTGTGATGGCAACAATCAGAAGATTCTTGAATATCATCTTACTTTGAAGTTTAGCCTGGAAGCCACCACTTCTCCCGTTGGTGTTATTATGGGAACATTCTCACAAATAATTCCATGATCCACATCAATAACTCTTCCTAAAAGTTAAGGAATAGTTTAAGTTATAAAAGCTACTACATGTTGCATCTACATCTAAAGCAAATTTTAATGTAAATGTGGATTCTGACACATATATTTGGAAAATCTTTCTTTCTCAGAAACATGATTTTACAATAATCTAATGTCAATGTCATAATGAGAGCATGATGGGATAAACTCGATCTGATAGAACCCAGCCATATTCTTTACAATTACTTATTTCACTAAATTAACCTTTCCCACAGGAAAAAAAAAATGCAGCACTGCAAAAAGGGAATTAAGACAAGGAAGAGTACAATTTTTAAAAATGTGATAACCAAACTTAAGTTTAAAAACTTCATAGAATCACAGACCTGTACCTCTGAAACAAATAATACATTATATGTTAAAAAAAGAAGAAGAAGAAGAAGATAGTAGGAAGGGAAAAATGAAGGGGGGGGAATCAGAGGGGGAGACGAACCATGAGAGACTATGGATTCTGAGAAACAAACTGAGGGTTCTAGAGGGGAGGGGGTGGGGGGGATGGGTTAGCCTGGTGACGGGTATTAAAGAGGGCACGTTCTGCATGGAGCACTGGGTGTTATACGCAAACAATGAATCATGGAACACCACATCAAAAACTAATGATGTAATGTATGGTGATTAACATAACAAAATAAAATTTAAAAAACTTCATAGAAGGATGAAGAACAATAAGATGTTAGCTCTAATTCTGTGTTTGAATTTTAAAAGCAAACAATTTGGGCAGTTTCCAAAACATATGGGCAGTTTCCAAAAATAATTCTAGAAATTTGTCCTAAATACAAGTAGCATAATTTTTTTATGGTAATGTTAGTCACCACTCCTCAAATTGCGACACTAATTTTAGGAAGAACTGTTTAAATAAGCAAGTATTAGTTCTTTGTAACTGTTAAACGCTATCTTCTAGAAATGTTTGGTTCTGTTGCTAAAGTAAACATTTAAAGGGGCTCCTGGGTGGCTCAGTAGTTAAGCGTCTGACTTCGGCTCAGGTCATGATCCCAGGGTCTTGGGATCGAGCCCAGCATCGGGCTCCCTGCTCCAGAGCCTGCTTCTCCCTTTTCCCCTGCTCATGCTCTTTCTCTCTCTCTCTTTCAAATAAATAAATAAAATCTTTTTTTTTTAAGTAAACGTTTAAATTTAGGAAAATATAAAACATTTGATTCAATACCTTTGATCTCCAGTGCGTCACTGAGGGGTAATTCTACGTCAGCTCCATTCTTGCTGTGGCTTTCAGACTCTTGCATGAGAGTAGCTCTCTTATAAATGCCTCTTTTCACTTCATCAAAGACCCAAAACATATTGTACACTCGAGCAGTATAGCCCGCTAATTCTGTGATCTAAAACCAACACGGAGGGGTAAAATAGAGTTAATATAACCAAGATGGACTTTTTGAAAAAGATATGCAATACTATTAGCGTCCTGATTTAATGTTAAAGATCTTATTTTACTATGCATGAAAAAAAATACACCTGATAGCTATCACAAGTAACAGTAAAAGGCTTACCCAGAGAGCAACATAGCAAGGTGTCAACATCAGGAATTACAAAACCTGTAAAACATTATTCGTTCAAGCCAGGGTTCAAAATAAATGTAAAGATTTCTGAATGTTAGTGAGGCCTAAAGATCCTTCAGTCAAATTTCTGATTTGGCTCCATTTACATGACAAATTTCATTTCCAGAAAATTAGAAATTTTGTGAAAAACTTAAGGTCATAATGATCTTTTGTTTCAATATCTTTCTGCGATTTAAAATAGAAGATTTTGAATATAAGAAAAACATTTTTTCTTGTTATGAAATGAATGTTTCTGAGTCAAATTGATTGTCAACATTCCTAAGCTTTACCAAAGAAAATACCTGTCAGAAGATATCAATATTGGGAGTGAGCTCAGTGAAAAGCTACAAATCCTTTTCAGTCCAAATCCCACGATTCAGCTTCTTTTCAAGACAAACATGATGTACATGCCCAAAGAAAAACATTAAATATGACTTTTATTCTAGGGGAGATTATAAAATGAGATCAAGCTCTGCTTTTTGTCCATAAGGCTCAATAGAATAGGGTCTTGCTCTTATTCTGCCAGTTATTAATTTAGGTGGAATCTCCTGCTGTTTTTCTTTTAAAAGAACACCTTGTTATCAGGGTAATGTGAAAGGTGATTCATCTCCTGTCAAGACCATCTTTCTCAGTGAAAAGGAAAGCACAAAAACCATTCCCTTTTAGGAATATTTACTAGGAAATTGGCACCAATAAGCAAGGCATGTCACTAATAAACTGTGGAATAATACAACAATGCTGAGATTTGTGTAAGATTTATGCATGTGTAAAACCTAAGCCATAAATGAGTAGGTGTTTTCATCAAAAGCCTTCCACCACATGTCTCCACCGTGTGAGAGGTCTGTCATTAGCATTGTATTTCAGTATATTAATGTTGTAACTATTTAAGGGGTAATTTCTTTTTTTTTTTTTTTTAAGATTTTTATTTATTTATTTGACAGAGAGAGAGAGACAGCGAGAGAGGGAACACAAGCAGGGGGAGTGGGAGAGGGAGAAGCAGGCTTCCTGCTGAGCAGGGAGCCTGATGTGGGGCTCGATCCCAGGACCCTGGGATCATGACCTGAGCCGAAGGCAGACGCTTAACGACTGAGCCACCCAGGCACCCCTAAGGGTTAATTTCTAAAATGTTATCTTGAAGAATCTCTTGAGTTCCCCAGTGGAGGAAAACAGCTAAGAATTAACAAAATACAGATTCAAAAGAAACCTGGGTAAATATATTTGCATTGAGAAAAATATCCAAAACTAAATGCATGGGTCAGTTAAAGAAAGGCAGGAGGCAATGAGTTAACACACTAGGATGCATGATGGAGTGGGCAGAGTGTCTGAAAAAAACTGAGAATGTGACTGTGGGCAAATTACTTTGGGATACATGGCAGGGAGTTTGCCCTAGGACTCTTAACACTGAAAAGGAATCTTGTTCCCTGTAGAACTAGCAGAGAGAAGGTTTGGTGCTTTCATTTGCTGTCACAGTGGTAGTAAGATTCTTTAGAAGTGAGCATTCTATGATCCCAAGCACATTCAGGGAAAATAAAGCAAAATGAAATTATTTCTTGTATTGGATACAATGTAGAAAAACTAGTCCATATTCTTTCTGTGACTTAGATAGCAAAGTATTTTAATATGAGATGGATAAAATTTTGATGTCATTTAATTTTAATAAGGGATTTATTACATCAAAAAACCTATCCCCAAAACTGTATCTACAGATTATCAAAATTACTATTTGAAGTTTTTTTTAAAGATTTATTTATTTATTTTAGAGAGAGCAAAAGAGCACGAGCAGGGGCAGAGGGAGAGAGAGAATCCACAAGCTAACTCCCAGGTTGAGCATGGAGCCCGACACGGGGGCTCAATCTCAGGACCCTGAGATCATGACCTGAGCTGAAACCAAGAATCAGCTGCTTAACTAACTAAGCCATCCAGGTGACCCCGAAAAAATTTTAAAAAACTAAGTTGTTTTGCTATGTGACCCTAAACAATTGGTTTTACTTTTTTAAAGAAACCCAATTCAATAAATCAATTGTTGAATGACACTGGAAGCTTTGTGAGCAAATCACAAATTTTGTTACTCTTTTACATGGTCTATTCAAGGATGATTTAATTGGCAGATGAATTTATAATGATGCTCTGGTGATTCATATTGATACAAAAGCCACAAGAGAAATTAATAGTGAAAATGACTGACCATGGGAATATCCTATAATATCTGAAATAAATAATTTCTAATTTTAACCCTCTGATATCTGCCAAGTCTTACTACCATTCTTTCAGCAAATATTTCTTGACCACATGCAATTTTCCAAGCTTTAAAATGAATATTAGGAATGCAAAGATGAGTAAACTGTTGTTGCTTTCCACTCAGAGTCTGGCGAGGAGATGGGCCATTATAATGTGGTATTTCACCAGAACCCAGAGAAGGAAGACCCAGACTTTGCAGGGAAGGTGAGAAGAGAGTAGAATCACAAGAGGGTTTTATATGTGGTCTGTGAAGCTTGACTTGTCATGAAGGATGAGTAATAAAAGTTTGCAAGGTATATAAGTATCATTGGCTAACAGTTACTGAGTTCCTAAATATGTGTTGTTTTAAATATTCTACATATATGAACTCACAACAACCCTACCAAGTAATGCTATCATTATCTCCACTTCACAGATAAGGAAACAAACACAGACAGGTTAAGGAATTTGAGCAAATTCACATAATTTGTAAACCCTGGAGCAAGATTTTAAATTTAAGTGCTCTGGTTCCAGAATCCATACCTAACAGACTTTTCTTTTCTTTCTTTCTTTCTTTTTTTTTTTTTTTTTAGTTTAAAAACAAATATGTCACACTACAGACAGAAAAAGAGGAGTTACAATTAAGAACAATTAAGAGTGTAAAAACTAGAGTATTAGCACAATACACTTGGGAGTTGCTGCCCTTTATCTTGATTATACTCTTAGGAATTTTTAGTAGAGAAAAGATATGTTTCCAAAATGCTAAGTCCATCTGATGATTTACATTTTTCTTGATTTTCATATGTATTATTTTAATCAAACTGACAAGAAATGCCAGTACCTCTTTGTAGGAAGACATGATCCGTTCAATAGCATCGGCTCCAGAGGCCAATAAATTTCGAGCGGTGGTAAAGGCTTCTGTCCGTTCACTAACCATAGCTTGCTTTTGGCCATCTTCTAGATCTGAAAGCAAATTATAAAACTATTGAGTTTTTTTCAGGTAACTATTGTCTTTTTACAAATGGAATTGCAGCTAAAAAAAACCACATGTAAATATTTCATTAGTACCAGCAATTTCCTAGAAATGTAATGAAGTACTGAAAATATAGTATTTGTACCGGATTTTATTTAAAGCTTCCTTTTGTTTTATTATTTTTCTGGGAGGAGAGTTAAAACACTTAATTAACAATTAAGACTGTTTTCATTTAGCATTCTTTTAACCCTTTCCAAATTCAATTCTCTGTCCCTCTTACGGCTAGGCAATAAAATACTACTGATTTGGTCAAGAAAATACTAATAACTGGAGTATAAGCAAATATTTCTAGTGTGGTTCCTTTAGTAGAACTGCAAATTAGCTGGCCTTCATAATCTAGACTCAGTTTATCTGTTTCACCTAAACTGCACCTACATTCCACGGCACCTCAAACATGCAATACTCTGTTTATCCTTTGGTATTTGCATATACCATTTCTTCTGACATTAAAATACTTCCCTTCCTTTTTTGCCTAGTTCTTTCTTCAAGAAAGTTAACTCTTTAATGTAGGTTTCCCTGGAAAACCTTGCCTGGTTTTTCCAATGGACTATAAATTCCTTAAAGGTCAAGACTATGTTTTGTATTCTTTATTCCCTGTACAAAGCAGAGTGTCTAGCACATAGTACTCCTCAATATATACTGGATGAATGCATGGATGAGTAAATGGATAGGTGGGTAAACATCCTAAATTACTGTTAATGCAGAATTATGGTCAAGAGTAGGAGTTAGACTAGGTTTGAATCCAGGCTCTACCACTATTGACAAATGGTAAGATAAGTAGAACAAGCCAATTATCTTCTCCATGCCTATTTTCTCATGTGTAAGTGAGGGAATTAATACTACTATCTGAAACAATTCTATCTCAAAGGATTGTTGTGGGGCTTAAAGGTGAAACACAAATGAAGTATTAGCATAATCCATGGCCTATAAGTGCTCCAGATGTTAGCTAGTTATTATTATTGTGTATGTACTCAATTTAGTCTTAGTCTTCTAAATTATTCTCCCCAGTCATTATTTTAAACTTCCCATCAATATGATTCTCTATTTGGTTCTTCTATAAATTATCTCCAAAGTTCTAAATTATATACTGTAAATAAATGAAAGTATTAGAATGATATAGATAGCCATAGGCCCATTTTGATGTATATTTCTCTCTGGTTTATCTCAGTGTAAAGGTTTTGTTTTGTTTGTTTTGTTTTTTCTATAACAATGCAGATATTTAACTTGTGCCCTCCTAGGAATACCAGATACTTTTACCTTTACTTGCTCATAGACAGCTCAGCTGAGTTTGAAAGGGATCCATACATAATAAAAGGTAAAATTCACTCAGTAGGTATTTACTGAACAATTAGATGTGCAAGAAGTTACGCAGGTGTTATAAGACATACAAGGATAAATGTAATTTTCAGACTCTTTCCTTGGGGGCCTCACAGTTTGGTAGCAGAGAGAAGACAAGTTCCTAAATAACTGCAGAGCAGCCTATGATGAGAGTTAATGTGAAGTATTTGCCGAAAGCAAAAATCATTTCTTGCTGCAAGAGACAGGAAATGCTTCAGGGAGGAGCATACTGTGAGGGATGCCTTGAAGACTATGTACAATTTTAATAGACCACAAGTACGGCAGAAGCAATGGCACAGAGAAAGGACATTTCAAGCAATGCCAATTGAATGATCAACAGCCTGTCGTGTTACAGTATGGGCGAAGTCGGGCACAGATTTCACTTGAGTATCGGAATTACCACGTGTTCATGGGGACCTTTTATGATAGTCTGATATGGTCCCTCCTAGCCCTGTTGTCAGTCACGGCCCTGAGAATTACCCTTAGTTCCCTTGAAGTTAGCTAGTTTCCCTCATAATGGGGGGGAAAAAAAGGCTTCGAGTGCTGGTAGAAGTGAGGACTGAAAGATGTGACTGGATAAATAGACTGGGAACAGAATGTAGATATTCTTAAAATACATTTAAATGTGTGATAAAATTTAGATAGCCACAAAAAAATTACCAAAGGATTCTCAGCAAGCTACCCAAATAATGAATTGCTGTATCAGTTAAAGTTCTCAGAATAGTTTTGGCTCATAGAGAATCTGGCTGATGATCTAAAATAATTATGGAATTTTATGAATTTGGGTTAAAAGGGGTTTGGGTAGCAGCTCGCATCAACAGCCTCTGTTAAGAAGGAAAAACATGAGCACAGATGGACTCGTATTTAATATGGCATGGTACTTTCCATGTTGCTTTGGCAGATTAATGCCTACTGGGTTTTCTTCATGCTTTTAGCAACAAAATTACAAATAGCTGTGAACAGATTTCATCTGATTTTTATTCTACTGGTTGTTTTTTGGCAGGCACTATGAGAACAGTGCCCATAGTATTTTGTCATGCACACAACGGCCGACTGCATAACCTCTATGAAAAAGCCGGATTCCTTAGTTTCAGAATATAAATGCATGACCTCAGGCACTCATTTGTTTTGTGTCATAGGTCAACACATTTTATTTTTCTCACCAAATATTTGAAATATTGCGTCAAATGTTTCTCATTTGAGGATGTAATACTTAACATTGTATCTGCTCATTTTACTGCTACTTTTCAACCCCGCTAATAAAAAGTAATTATATTGAAAATGGTGACATCTGCTGTTATTCACGGAAAAGGTGAGAAAGCATTTAGAAACTAAGGTTAGGTCTTTATATACTTGTCAAAACCCATGCAAGTGTACAATGCAAAGAAATAAACCCTAATGTAAACTATGCACTTCAGTTAATAATGCATGCATATTGATTCATCAGTTGTAACAAATATACCACACAAATACAAGATGTAAATAATGGGAGAAACGGGGGCGGGGGGAGAGGAGATATTTGGAACTCTTTGTACTTTCTGATCATTTTTTCTGTAAACCTAAAACTGCTCTAAGAAATCTAAGTCTATTAATTTTTTTAAAATGAAAAAAAGTAGGTTATTCCTCTGTGCTTTTTCTTTGGACTTATAACCTGAGTTTATTTCTTTTCATTTGCATTTTACCCTTATCACCTTGACAAGTCTCAAGCTTTGTGCAATGGCAGTATCCGAGGAGCGATTATTGCTAATTGAAAACTATCACCTACACAAATCTCAGCAAGAACTGATGGTCTTCTCCTACCTCATACCATAAAGAAATATCCAATCTAATTGGATTGAAGATCCCCATGTGAAATGAAAAACCAGTACATTTCTAGAGGATAAAATAGGAGGGTATCTTCATTGTCTTGGATTAGGCAAGTATTTCTTTTTCTTTTTTTTTTTTTTTAAAGTTTACATTTTTTTTTTAAAGATTTTATTTATTTATTTGAGACAGAGAGAATGAGAGACAGAGAGCATGAGAGGGAGGAGGGTCAGAGGGAGAAGCAGACTCCCTGCAGAGCAGGGAGCCCGACGCGGGACTCGATCCCGGGACTCCAGGATCATGACCTGAGCCGAAGGCAGTCGCTTAACCATCTGAGCCACCCAGGCGCCCCTAGGCAAGTATTTCTTAAACAGGACATAAAACCACTAACCACACACACAAAAAATGACTGATAAACTGAACCATGTTAAAATTATGAACTCCTCTCATACACTGTTAAGAGACTGAAAAAGTAAGAATAGAGTGGGAAAACTGGTATTTGAGATTGTGTGTGTGTATGTCTGACGAAAGTCACATTACAGAGTACATAAGAGCTTTTAAATCAATAAGAAAAAAACAGATAGGTCAATTTAAAAGTGAACAAAAAACTCATTGGTACTTCATAAGAAAAGCTATCCAAATGGTGAATAAACAAGTAAAAAGTACTTAATTTCATCAGTCATCAGAGAAATGCAAATTAAAACCACAATAATGTACCACTATGCACTCATGAGAACGCTAAAATGAAAAAGACTGACATCAAATATTGACAAATGTTTGTGGGGCAACTAGAACTCTCATACATACTGTATGATGTATTTATACGAGTTTCAAACCCAGCAAACACTATTGAATGGTTAGTAAAATAATTACCTTTACTGCAGCATGTTGGGAGCAGGAATAAGTGGGGATGGGATAGTGGGCTGAGGATGGGGATAAAACTGGAAGGTCATGGGGTTCTGGGATGAAGGTATGTTTCTATTTTTTGTGAGTGGTGATTATATGTATGTGTTAACTTTGTGGCAGTTCATTGAGTGGTGCACTAATGACTGGGTCCTTTATGGCCTGGATGTTATACTTTAAAAATTATAGCTACCTAGTATAGCTATGTAATAGGGATAGCTAATTACAGCTAAAAAGTATGTCCTTCATATGTTTTGCTAATTACTGTTACAATAATTGGTCAACAGGAGAGGAAGCATATCCAAATTGATCCATAATATAAAATTATATTCCAATAATTTGACGTTAGAATATGAGACACTAATACAACAGGAGTTATGGATATAGTCTTGTTGGAGGTACATTTTAGGAATAAAAAACATCACCCATGTAACTAGGTGAGTTTAGTTCCATTCTTAAGAGCAGTATCTCTCAGTTGCTGCTTTTGATGTGCCACCTTATACTAACAGACCACCAACAGACAGATACCACTGGCAGGGCTCGTGGCTTAGATGCTTTCTTCCCTGTTACGTGTCTGTGATAAGGTCTGGCAGGAGGGACTTATAAGCAGCTTTCTTTGGCCTTGCCCATAACTGTTTTTGATACGAAGAGAAGAAAAGTGGCCTATAACATTAAAAAATTGAGGTGATACTAGATGGCCGACAGACACAGAAAAGATGCTCAAGATCACTCATTATCAGGGAAATGCAAATCAAAATTACAGTGAGGTATCACCTCATACCTCACAGAATGGCTAAAACCCAAAAGAAACAACAAGTGTTGGCAAGGACGTGGAGAAAAAGAAACCCTCTTGCACTGTTGATGGGAATGCAAACTGGTGCAGCTACTATGGAAAACAGTGTGGAGGTTCCTCAAAAAATTAAAAATAGAACTACCATATGATCTAGTAATCTCACTACTGGGTATTTACCTAAAGAGTACAAAAACACTAATTCAAAGGGACACATGCACCCTTATGTTTATAGCAGCATTACTTACTATAGCCAAAGTATGGAAGCGGCTCAAGTGTCCATCAATTAATTGATGAATGGATAAAAAAGATGTGGTATACATACACAATGGAATATATCCAGCCATAAAAAAGAATGAAGTCTTGCCATTTGCAACAACATGGATAGAGGTAGAGATTACAATGCTAAGCGAGTCAGTATATGATTTCACTCACGTGGCACTTAAGAAACAAAACAAATGAGCAAAGGAAAAAAGAGAAAGAGAGAGAGAGAGAAACCAAGAAACAAACTCTTAACTGTAATGGTTATCAGAGGGGAGGTGGATGGAGGGGATGTGTGAGGTAGGCAATGAGGATTAAGGAGTGCACTTGCCTTGATGAGCACCAGGTGATGTATGGAAGTGTTGAATCACAATACTGTACACCTGAAGCTAATATAAGACTATGTTAACTAGACTGGAACTTAAAAAAAAAATTGAGATGATAGCTCCCAGGTAACTATTTTCTTCATATAATTTCAATCTCTCTCTTAATATAAAATAAAGGGGGTAATATCCTCTAAAAAAAAAAAAAACAGAAAATATACATAATTAACTATTTCAGTGCCTCTTTTTCAATCATTTGGTCACAGGATCACTTAGTGTCAAACTAAGTTAAATCCCTTCTAGAGCAAGTTCCAATATAGCTAATATGGAGGCAGCATGGTGAAGGGGAAAAAGGCAGTGCACTAGGAATTATATAGTGTCTTCTATCCTTAGCGCTTCCACTAACCATCTGTGTGACCGTGGGCAATTCTGGGGCTCCAGACTAGATGACTTGGAAGCTCCTCTTCTGATGTGAAAATGGCATGATTCCACATGAAATTTCATAATGTGAACTTAAATATAGACATAATCTCGTCCTTACCATAAGATTTCACTTGAAGTTGTAGGTAAATAGTATAACAAAACTATTATAGACCTATTTTTCTTTTCTCCTCCAAAAAAAAGAAAAGAAAAATTATGCATGCTCTTCCTCCTATTGGTATTTTTATCTCTGATTTGCTAATCATTTCCAAATGCCTTGCTCCTTTAACTACAGTAACCATACCAGCAAACATCTATTGAACATTTCTTATAAGGCAGGCAGTATTCTAAGTTTTACATATGTCATCTTCTTTAATCCTTATAACTACCCTGCTATAATTTCCCCCACTTTGGAAATGAGAAAATTGAAGCACAAAAAGGTTAAATGATTTGCTCATAGTTGCAGCCTTACATAGTGAGTAAAAGAGCCAGCATTTGAACCCAGAAAATCTGACTCCAGTGCTAACATGGTAGGAATATAGTAAATATTAACAATTGCTGCCACCTAAGTTTTTACTATTTGCCAAGGACTGTTTCAAAGCTCATTAAATGCTTTATATATAATTTCATAAGAATTCTGTGACATATATGTTCTTATCCCTATAGTTAAGATGGGAAAACTGGGACATAAAAAGCTTATGTAACTTTCTCAAGGATGGATAAGTATTAAATAGCAGACTCAAAATCTGAATAGTGGTCTGCTTCTTTCTCTATTCATTTCGTTCTTTTCTCTATCCTACTTTTTCTCCTTTTCTCTTTGCCATACCTCTTTTATTCACCAATTTTTTCCATGTATTTTTGTCTTAAAATACACAGTATCATGTACTTGATTCATCTCTAACATAAAGGACAATGCAGGGCATATGTGTAAATTAAGATTGAAGACAAGATTAGAATATAGGGTATATAATTCCAAGACCTAAAACCTCAAAGACATATCATTATCTAAAAAAATAAATAAGTAATTTTATCTGAGTAGAATGGTAACTTAATATTTTCATGTGTTAAATTATTATAGGTAAAATATATTTAGTAAAAATATGCATATAAACATTATAAGCATACATGTAGTAACTTTAGAAATTACAGAAGATATTGAAGTGTACTCTCATAATATTGACATATGAATTCACTTTTTGTCTATGTAATTGTCATATTGCTTCTCTTTATATAAAATTTTCTTCTGAAAGGAAGCTTTAAGAATTACCTTGTTTATTTGCATAAATAAAATCATTATCATAATTTCTATTTAAAATTTTAATGTTATTTCTTCAGTTTAATAAGATATTTTCAGGATTTGTAAGAATTATTTTTAAACATCTTATTATATAACCTACAGACGATCGTTAGATTCTTTGTATACACTGTTTACTTCTAACTGTTCTCTGTGGGGTTAATTTGTCACCATTAATAGCTGCATTTTCTCTGTTCTATGTTCACTACTTCAGGGTTTTCTAATAAGACCAGTGCTTCCAAGGACTAACATAACGACACCATAATCTTTTCATTGGGGTTATCTCTAATATACATCATATATGAAACTTTTATCCATAAATTTAAAGAGACTCACTATGAATATCTGATAATTTTGTCAAGTTTCTTAGTAAAACTAATCTTAAGACCATAGGTTTTTAAGTGTCTTTTCTCTAATACTCTTGAAAAAGTAATTATTTCATTATGGGAGGATTAAGTCTAAAAGTATTATTACTAACTGTGCCCTTTTCAATATAAACTTATTAAAATTTTTAAAAAAATAAAATATGAAAACATACAATTTAGTTTTCCTAGCAGTCTAAATACACTGACGATTAGACAGTTAAGTTGTAGAATGTATTTGGTATACGTATAGTACTCTTCACAAAGGATTGACAAATCTTAATTTACTAAAGTGAACAATTTTAGGTTAAGAATGACTCAAATTTGACAAATATTTTTGTAAGAATTGGTTAAAGCATTGAAGCACTGTTTGAATATATTAAATAAAAGGTAATTTTGTACTTGTTTTTATTAGATGACTTCAAACAAATAACTACTGATTCTCAATTCTATACCCAAAATAACTAATATAGTGTGAATTCTGTTACAGTATTATTAGTGTTGCCTTTTGTTTTCTAGATAATAATTGTCACCATATATCAAGAACATCAAGAATATGCTCTATACTTTATAAACATTCTTTTACTAAATCCTCACAATGACTCTCTGAAGTAGCCTTTCTGATTTTCATTTTATAGATGAGGAAACTGACTTTTAGAAAGTTTAATTACTCTGACTAAGAGGATACAGGCAGGAAGAGGGAAAGCCAAGAGTTGAGCAAAGCTCTGTCTAATTACAAAGCCCATGCTTTTCTCTAGCGCCTTCAACACCAAGGCCAATTTTGGTCAAGTAGTTTTTAAGAGGAGGGAGAATATTTTATTTTGGAGGAAGAGGAGAAAATGATGCTTCTTTAATTAATTCCTCCCTGCCCTTGCCAATTACAACCCAAACTCCCATCTTAGGTTTTATACAACACTGTAATGTTATCCTTCTTGCCCTTATCTTTTTTAGTTATTCCAAAGGATTAAAATGTTGGTAAAAGCCACTGAGACAGTGATAGAATAGAATTAGATGCCTGCAACTTGCTAACCCCTACCTCCACAATGCTACTAAATCATGCTATATAGGATGTTATCTGTATTACCTATAAGTAGAGGAGACCTTGTTCCATGGCAGGAAGCATTCCCTGAAATAACATTCCTGGTTCCTTCATGTAGTCAACCAGTTCTTCAAATCACAAATCAGGGCCAATCCAGTTATAGAATATTTATAGACTAAAAGCATAGGATGTGCAGAACTGAAGTTTACAACACATGGGGAGAACTTGTATAATACTCTCTTTGAAGGTATTAATTTGTTTTGGATTTTAGTGCAAACTAGAGAATCATTGTGTGTTAGACAGAATAATTAAAATTGCTCAAGGTCAACTCCTAGCAACACTGCATCAGAGATCTCTGAAATATCTCAGAACTAGAAAGGTATTTTGAGCCACGTGTCTTTTTTTTTTTTATATTGCTGATCTTATTATTGGATGTTGCAAGGTCTGCCATTGTTTCTGACCAATAATGACCATAGAATAATGACTGCAGACACAGTTTCACTCACACAAAACCAGCAGTGACACCTTCAAGAGAACTAATCTTAAACGTATACTTGAGACTGAGCATAAATTTCATTACCACCATCTGCAAAGCCAGTTGCAGTGATAATAGGCACAGCCACCATAATTAGTCCACTGCTGCTCCAAACATACTTCATCAAGAATTGCTCTATCATGATGTACCACAAGCGTTTGGATAAAATGAGGTTCATCTGATCTGCTAAAGCTTTGTAACTTTTCTGGAGTTGCTTCATTTCTACCTATGGAGGGAAAAAGAGATAAGAATTAACCTAGCATGAGCTATAAAATCAAATATTGTACGTTTGAGGACTTTCTTAAGAGACAAGTACATATTATTTTGTTTTACTTAGTATAGCATTATCTATGATTCCAAGAACCAATAAATATAGATCAATACCAGGAGTAACTATTATTATCTAGTTTTGGTCACACCTGTATTATTTTTAAAAAACATAATACTCAGTCAATATAATGTTAAGTATAAAATACATATAAGTGATTTATAACTACAATTTCAAAATTATATGTATAAGATGTTAAAAATAAATAATATCCTATAGGACAGGAATAAACAATGTTAGAACCTTATCTTTTTTGATCAAACCAAAATATCTAAAAATAAAGACAAGACACGTGTGTAATCAGACTCCACTTTTGAACTAACTCAATTTGCTGGATTTTGTCTTAAATGCAAGAAGCCCACGGCATGCTGTAATTTACATCACTGAGTTCAATGATCCAAGAGGAATGACCAATCAGTATGATTAATATAACACATGAGACCAATTTTCAAGAGGGAGTAGAAGTCCTAAATTTGCTTTAAATTTTCTTCTTCAGGTTGCTACTACTTTAACATTTTTTTGATAATTGATGATGCTTCCAAAATTAAATAATTCTATTTGGTAATTAAAATACCATTTTCAGCTTTAGAGTTCCTTAATATTTCATTGGCAAATTCACTTGTATTAAGATTTCAGATGCATCACCTTAAAAATTTCCATCATAGTTAATATTCTGAAGTTACTTTAATGCACTGCAAGCTTATGTAATTAGGCTAACTATTTTAGGGACCTACTTGATGTTGAAAATCTTTAATATTTAAAAATAACATTGTGGAACTCCTTTTCTCATCCTCATTTCTTCTCTAATCTTAGCTTTTCCCTCAAAGCTAGGCAAAATTTCATTTCACTGCCTCATTTTATCTGTCTCAAAATATGCTGCTGAACATTAACTAAGAGTAATGCAAATGCTATTTGTGAGACACATTCTCCTGCAATTCTGAGGACTGAGGTCATTCCATTGACCAGACACGCAAAATTGTCAAATTTGTCTTTCACGTAAAAGCATGGGTTTTTTCCCTTCTTGAAAAACAAAGGAACAACAACAAGAATACCATCCTAAATTTTCCATCTCAGTGGAAATGTGTTTACTGAGTTTCCAAACAAAAATTTTTTTCTAATGCTCTAGGACCAACCAGTTAGAATTTAAGTTTTAGGAAAATGCTTTGGAGAGAATTCTGAGCATATTTGGATAGTTACTGAGGCTAAGTAGACTGTTTTTCAGATTGCTGAAAACCTTATCCCCATGAAACTTCAGAAAAGTTTGCACTCCACAGTTCTTTAACAGCTTGTAACTAGAAAGGTAAGGAAGCATATATTTCAATAGAGGTTTAGATGTCACAGAAATCTAAAACGCTAAAGAAGTGGGTCCGTCAACAGGACAACAGACGGTATCTAGCACTGCAGGGGCAGCTGGAAGACTCTCACATTTCACTCATCACCTTAATTTCTATCTTACCTTATGTCCTCTGTAAAAGGCAATTTCTTCAACATTGGCTATAATTCTGGAGTGCACATACCGCAAATAGCCTTTTCTGTGAGCTTCTTCAGCCACCAATTTACCAAATTTGGGAGAGCAGGCTTTCAAAACTTTAGCGGTGGCATATACCACAAGTCCTGCTAATAAGGTGGGCCCAATTGGGCTCGCTCCTCGGGAGGTAGCAGTCTGGATCAGCGTATAGGAGGTCAGGATTACATCTAAAATAGGTTTGGTCAGATTGGAATATAAGTGAGCCACAGACTGGGAGAACATCATAATATCCTCAGTAAGAGACTGGTCAGGGTTTGCCAGCCTCCCATCCATATTGATCACCTTATAATAAGTCTGATTTGTAAAATAGGTTTCATAGGCATGGTCCACCAGGCGAGTTCTGAAGGCCAACGCCAATTTGCACTCCAGGTACCTGATTGCACTGTTAACAAAGGTGGCAGGGATGGCAATCATAAGCCACTTAGTTAATTTGATGATGAAAGTCCGAGGCTTCTTTTCCACAATGCTTTTCACGATTTTTCCATCCAGACCAGCCACATAGATAGACAGAAAGGTTCTTGAGATTAGAGCCACCGAGTGGAGGCAGAGCCAGCCTGTTTCAGTGGTCACAAGTTTTGGAAAGAGAATTTTCCGAAGTTCTAGTAGCTGTTTGAAAAAATCTGCATTCACTCCAGGACAAGGTTTTTTACAAGTGTTCTCGGTGCAATGCAGTATTTCTCTGTTCTCTGCGGCCGGATAAACTGCTTCTTTTTTCTTCCTGTGGCGAGATTGCTTTAAACGCTTGCCAATGATGGGATAGAGCGTTTTCAGAGCATATGCGGCAGCCACCAGGCAGGCAGCCCTTTTAGCAGCACTCGATCTGGTCCATTTCACCCGATCAGCTGCTGCATTTAGCATATTTGTCATTTTCCCAGTTACCCAAACAGGCTTCAAAAAGAATTGGTTTTAAAAGATCATGCTCCACGGGAATCCCCAGCAAATGTTTCAGAAAGTCCTACAGCGTTCCATAGTCTGCAGCATTTCTCCTCTTCTGGTTTTTGTTTTTTGTTTTTGTTTTTATTTTGTTCTGCTGTGACAGATGCAGCAGAGCTCAGGCTGCTCGGCATCTACCGGGATGAATCCCTCAGAAGCTCACGCTGCACCAAGCCGCCCCAGGCTCCTCCCTCTCAGGCTCCTCATTGGCTGGGAGAGCGGTGGGACCTCGGAATCCTCGCTGCCTCCCTTTGAACCTTGAAAATGAGGAGAGAGCGAAACGAATTACATCTTTAAACAGGAGTTCAAAGAGTTAAATGTCTATTTTTGGAGAGGTCGAATCAGGGCAGCTGCTGGCGACAAAACCTGCCCCAGCTACTGAGCATGCTCAGCGTCACTTAGAAGCCCACAGAAGTTTCAGAACATACATCTCTTTTCTAAGGTTTTAGTAGGTACCACAAGGGCAAGAGTAAAAAGAAAGGGAGATTTTCAAGAGCTATAAAACGAGATGAGGGAGAAGGAACTAGGGAGATGAGGGAGGAGGGACAAGAGGGTTAACATAAAAAGAATCTGAAAAGGATATGCAATGAATCTAAAATGGAGAGAGAAGAAAAGTGACAAGTTTAGAGGACACTGGAAAGAACAAAATATCAAATACTTAGATCTGTTTTTTTGGTGCCGCTCCCCTCCCCTCATTTTATTTTTTTCTCTTTGTGATATCACATGAAGTCCTAGAACCTATCAGACAAGTTGTGGTTGAGGGTTTTTTTGTTGTTGTTGTTGTTTTGTTTTTGGGTTTTTTTTTGGGTAAATAAATAGAAGTCTTCTGTATTATAACAAAATAATTATTTGCTATACTTTCATCTCCGTGTTTACTTATCCTTATAATAAAAATCTTCCAGGGATGCCTGGGTGGCTCAGTCATTAAGCGTCTGCCTTCAGCTCAGGTCATGGTCCCAAGGTCCCGGGATTGAGCCCCGCATCAGTTTCCCTGCTCAGTGGGAAGCCTGCTTCTCCCTCTGCCTGCCGCTCCCCCTGCTTGGGTTCCCTCTCTCGCTGTGTCTCTCTCTGTCAAATAAATAAATAAGATCTTAAAAAAAAAAAATCTTCCAGCCCCATAACTATTATTTTTAGCAATGGAGCATATTTATTTACAATGTGACTATTAAATAAACCAGTGCAATGTGTCACTTCTTCCATCTCCTTGTGTCCTTTATATAGTTGTCGCTTGGAGGTATGTGACTCTATAATCAAAAGTTAACCGTTTGGGAATCCAACTGGAGTTAGATGGTGGAAATAGCTTCTCCAGAACCTTACTTTTCAAAAGTTTTGTTTGTTAGTCTTTGTCTTTTTCAAACTTTTGTTTTGTTTCTTTTGTTTAGGCTTAGAGATAATCTTCTGGTTACTTCCCATTTCCATCTTGGTTATTTGATAAAAAGCAAGTGTGTTAAGAAAAATTCTGTACATCACGAATGGAGGACTTAAACTAACTAGTCAAGCAAAATTCTGCATATTTAAAAAGATGTAAAGGGATTTTTTTTTAAAAGGTAAGGATGGGTATATCCTCGAATATGCAAAAACATTTTTGCTTTCCCACCCGCCCCCCTCCCCCCCATACACAGCATAAACATACACATTTCTAGTCATCTGGAAGTCTGGGAAAATATGCATTAAACAGAGGTTGGCAAATTACAACCCAACCAGTGAGCAAAATTTGGCCCTTGAGCCAAGAAGAGCTTTTACATTTTAAAGTGGTTGAAAATACATCAGAAGAGGTGTGCCTGGGTGGCTCAGTCAGTTAAGTGTCTGCCTTGGGCTCGGGTCATGATCTCAGGGTCCTGGGATCAGCCCCCACGACTGGCTCCTTGCTTAGCCAGGAGCCTGCTTCTCCCTCTCCCCCTGACCCTCTCCTGCTCGTGCTCTTGCTCTCTTGCTCTCTCTCATAAAGAAATAAAAATCTTAAAAAAAAAAAGAAAAGAAAAGAAAATACATCAAAAGAGGAAGAATATTTTGTGACATGAAACTTTTCTGAAATTTTTATTTCGGCATCCAGAAATTAAGTTTTATTGGAACATAGTGATACCCATTTATTTATTTATTGTTTATGGTTTTCAAGCCACAGTGACAGAATTGAGTAGGTGAAACAGAGCCTAAATATTTACTACCTGACTCCCTTCGGAAGAAGTTTGCCAAACCCTGTGATAGAATATAAAACTTGTTTCAGTGTTGAATGATCTTCATTATTTATTTGACTATGAGTAAAGAACTCTTCTGACTTTTATAAGTAACAATATTCGTAAACTTTAAAAATTCTTTCCCCATGTACTTATATTAATTCCAAGAATCATCACAGGTCTCTTTTCATTTGTTTGCATTCAATTCAGCAAATTTATAATGCATGAGTGGCAAATTCCTGCAAGTCTCTTTGATAGTTGGCCATATTAGCTGGCACAATCATTTCATTAAGACTTTCTAAGTCTGTATTTAGAGATCATAGTGTTATAGTGGTTATTTTCAACATCTTTTATTCCTAATAATATGCTTTTCATGTGTCAGAATAAGGCTGTCTGACATTAATAAATTTTAATTCTTGATGTCACATCTCCTGACTGTGACAGGACAAGAGGAAGTCCAGGGTAAACTTAAGTGGGAATGACAGGAGGATGTTCAGCCAGGCAGAACATGCTACACAGAGGGATGTGTAGGTCAGAAAGAAGCTGGCAATCGAGGCAAGTGGCTTACATGACTAGCATAGGACAGCCATTTCATAGAAGGAGCAGTGCAGTAGGACTCTAGATGCAAAGAACATTAGAGATCCAAACAGGCCCACACTTAGTTGTAGGTTGATCAGTTTACCAACTGATACTGAGGCTGGGGTACAGGAGCAAGCTTTTAATGTGTGGAGTGAAAGACTTGTTAGAATGAGGATGTAGGTGTGAGGAAAATAAGACAGAGATTTGGTTGCTGGAATTGTATACAAGGAAAGTTGAAAGCCAGTTGCTAGAACTGGGGAAAAGGTCAATGTGAGATTTGACTTGATGTTGAGCCCCTTAAGTACAGACCTCACTAAAACCATTTAAATTCTACTCCCACCCTTCATTCCACCCTGCTCCCAAAGGTCAGATTTGGTCCTAGCATCTGAGACTATGTTCCAGCCTTCAGGAAATTCAGAGGAAGAATTCAGGATGATAGGGAACCAGATAGGTAATTCCAGCTGGAAATATATGTCACTTAAGTAAGAAAGTAAGAACGTCAAGGTACTTCTTTCATTTTTTCTACTGGCAATAATCAGTTAAAATAAAGATAATGTTAATTTGCTCTGAATTCCAAGTTAGGTGAGAAAAAGGAGGTTGAAAAAAATCACTTGTTACTACACTAAACATAATTCAGCCTAATTTCTACTCAAGCTTCTTTAACTTTACATGTGTTTGTGTGGAAAAGCATTAAAATTTTCTTAAGGGGAGAAAAATCTTAGAATATGAATGAAAATTAAAAATAAGTAATAGTTATCAAATTACTCTGTTCTCAAGTGTGATTTTTTTTTTTTTTTAAAGTAGGTTCCATGCCCAGGTGGATCCCAGTGTGGGGCTTGAACTCATGACCCTGAGACTAAGACCTGAGCTGAGATCAAGAGTCAAATGCCTAACCAACTGAGCCAGCTAGGCGCCCCTTAGGTGTGATATTCTTAATGTCAGTGTCAAAGTGAATACTACCAATATCCATGGAAGAGCCAGATTAAGTAGATTTTGTATAATTCAAGAATATATATAAAACATATTGAACCATATGTTTTATAAACTGTAAAACATCAGAAATGATTTTTATAGTAGATCTACATATACAAGCATATGAATAAAAATATATATAATGTAGATAATATATATGTTGTACGTTTAGATAGTAAATCACCAGGAAGTAAATATTTTTTTAGTAATAAAGATAGATTAAGGTTTAAGAATTTTATATGGATTTCCTTTCACCAAATGCTAAGTATTCATCTGTGCTGTATTCCTTTCTTGAACTGTTTCCTGACCCAAGAGATTACCTAATTGACCCATTGGCCCTAAAATAGCACTGTGTTTGACTCATTATCTATCGGATCATGTTAGTCTTATTCATGTGAGGCATAAACAACACTAAAGATGAGATCTTAGGTCAACATTTCAGCTGTTACAAATAACCACCTAATAACTGTTTAATAAGGAAATGTCTTTTTCTGTGAAGGAAAAATCAGAAAATATCTTGTCCGAAGATGTGTCTCATAGATTAATTTTTTCCTTAGCCTAACTCACCACTTCTACTGCCTCTCTGTGACTGGAAGGAAAGCAGTGAGAGTTCTTCATTTCTCAGTAAGTTGATCAACCTCTCCTTTATTGTCCTTTCACATATAATACATCAAAAGAGTCAGTTAATCCTTTAGCAGATTATTTTCCCCTTTTAGTTAATTTAGTCAATTTGTACCTGTTTAAAAATGTTGAAAGTAGGAAAGGCTAATAACTCTGGGTCATTGCTTCTGCCTTGGCTTATAGTTTAGTTACTGAAAAATGACCAGCCACTCCATGTGGAAGACGAATTTGTTCTGAAATGCTGTATTACCTGGTCTAATTCAAGCCAATAATAGGTATCCTTTGGTGAATTTTTATTATAAAAATCAGTATTTACATGATTAAACAAGATATCTACCCTGGGACATAATCCTATTTTATGTACTTCTTCCCAATGACTTAACAGAAAATATATTTGAATAGGTTAAATTCTGGAAAATAATCATGACAATGGGGGGGGAGGGTACTTTGTGCATTTATTTGGGACAAGAGATTTCTAGTTTCCAACCAAAATATCATAGAACAGTTTGTAGGATAAATGTTTTATGAGGATATACAAACAACAGAAATGAACAGCAAAATCCAATTTTTGTTTGGAGATTTTTTCAGTAAGAATTTGAGAGTCTTTGGGCCTTTACAGCTTAAATAAAATTTTGATCACTCTCAGAAACTCACAAAATGTACAGAAGAGTAAATCACTACGGTGCAACGTTCCTAATAAACAGCTGTTTACTGACTATCAAAACAGTATGTGAAAGATACTTAAAGGATTTGGATGGGGTGTGATAAGTGGGAATGCAAGCTTCATCTTTAGGATTAGGGATCGTATAA